GTGTGTGTGTGTGTGTGTGTGTGTGTGTGTGTGTGTGAAATTGGATTATTGAATATTATCAAACGCTGAAATATATGGTACATCAAATCATAAGTCTAATTATTATCATAATACAAATCATCATATTATCATTAATACAAATCATGGTCATATCAAATGGTCGAACTCCCATTCTAATAAGAATATTTTTATTAGTATCTCGATAAATTCATTGTAGTTTAACTTGACACTCGATCTGCGGAGCTGGGGTGCATTTATACCCAGAAACACAAGTATTGTTATTTGACTATCTAGTTTCTGACCATTAATTTATATTTCAGTAAAGTTCAACAAAATTGACAAATACAATTAAAATGACCCTAAACATTCTCAATTATATTTTTGCCAAACAGGTCCGTCGTTCGAATGTTAAACAATATTTTCGTTTCTCCTTCGAAGTTTCCAGTAAATTAAAAATGAAATGAAATTGCTATGATCTCTTGTATCATTTTTTAAAGATCTTTACACTTGTACGAAGTCCAATAGTCTGTTATCACTTCATTCCAAAAGCTTTGTATTTTGTCGCAATGGAAACAGAGAACAGCGGTGTGCAAATATTAATAAACAAAGACAAAACAACAGTGAACGTTGATCGTAACGTAATCGACAATAACAATAAACGATAGATTATCAATACATAATAGCAATAAGAATGAAGTTAAGCCTCATACTCTCTTCGAATGAATATTTCACATAGCGTCAAAAATGTTCCTCCGTTGTACTCCAATTTAACATATTTGTTTAAACTATGAGTATATGAGTAAAACACAACTGATGAAACAAAAGTATAAAATGAAAATGGATAAATATTAACGAGACTCTTCGGTGCTACTATTTTCTAATCGTTCTAATCGTTACTTATTATTAGACTGCTGATCTTTTAGACTTCAGAAAATTGTCTCTGCTCTAATTGCCAGAAATAGATATTATACAGAGATTTACTTTATCTTTTAATAACTTTAATAAGCATCTTTATATTCTTGAAATATTTTGACTAGGGTAATGGAGTCGGTTACTGTGGGGTGACCAATTGCTGCGTCTTTGGTTTGTTTCCGGGCATAAATAACTTCATATTTATCGAATAGGACACATTAAATTTTGTTATTCTTTTATTTTGTTGGTTTCTGATAATGTTAACTTATTCTTTTATTTTTTAAATAAACCCAACTTATTCGTTTATTTTTATATATATATGTATAATAAAGTTAACTTATTCTTTTACTTTCTTATATATTTAATCTATCGATTTTAGACCTAACATATAAAGACCGCAGTCTAATGACAATAATAATAATAAAATACTCGCGCAATGGTCACGTTGATCGAACCACCTGCTGATTGCTTCTGTTTCGAAAAGAATTCTACGAAATAAGAGATCGCGTGTTAATCGCGGAGGAAGTCTTAGCGGATCGTGCATATGTAAAGAGAAATGAAAACGACAGGGACAAATAAAGGAGTAAGAAGATGGGGTAGAAGAGAGATAATGCGTGCTCCGTAAGATATTGACACTCCGGTAATCCATTTGACGGACATGTGGGCAACCTAGCTAATCCCGCTCACGCCCACCGAAGATTAAATCCTGCGTGCAGGCTTCCTGGCTCGGGCGAGCTAACTTCGCCTAACCGACGACGTAGGACAGGATTTAAAGTCCCATATACAGATACATACACACACATGCACACATGCACGTACACACACGCACACACACCCTTGCGTCAAACTTTATTCGTAGATACAAGAGGTTAAAAGCTCTTCGTGGCCCCCCGAAGATGGACCGGCCAAATTCCTCTTCCTTTTCATCTTTCATTCACGATATTGCCCCGCTACGAGTTTCCTTCCTTTTTCTTCATTCTATTCGCGTACATTTTTAACCTCGAGGTATAACTAATTAACGCTTCAAAGACTTGCGACGCGTAGTTCTATCTTTTACCGAAAAGTTAGCCAAAATGCAATTTTAGGGGGTACATGTATAATAGCAAAAAGCTGCTGTAATACATATGTATGTTGTATATTGTCGTGGACAAATATACACTTGATAATTTAAATTATCTAGTAAGGAGTAAAATTTATCTAATACAAGTGTAATAAATGATAGGATATATGTCCCAATTATTGTCAGTGTTTCTATAACTGCAATTTTAATTGTTTTAGTTAACAGCGAAATAATGCGTAAAAAAACGTACAGCATAAAAGATTTTAATGTTAAACTTGGACTCCGTTTTAGGTAATAATAGAGAAACATTGCATACTTATATTTATAAATTAATATTAAAAGGTGAATTTACCAATAGCGTATCTAAAATGCTCATTCAATGTTTGCTGCAATAATTATTATATGTATATTGCACTTCCTCATACATTTTTTATTAATTAATAATTAACCCATAATATTTGTCATATAAAAAAATAATTAACTAAAGCTACGCGATAAGCTTAAGGTGGCAGTAATTAAGGGACATCCACCAATTTATTTATATATCNTTATATGTATATTGCACTTCCTCATACATTTTTTATTAATTAATAATTAACCCATAATATTTGTCATATAAAAAAATAATTAACTAAAGCTACGCGATAAGCTTAAGGTGGCAGTAATTAAGGGACATCCACCAATTTATTTATATNTATACTTCTGACTATCAGTTTAGAAAAGTTTTAAATTCCTAAAGTAATGAAAAATTCTTAATACTAAAACAGTTTTAAAAAATAGTGAAATGCACTGTATACGGAATTAGTTGGCAAATATAGAGCATTGGCAATTGGTACGGTATTTAAAAAGAAACCAGCAAAAAGTTGTTATTTCTTTTATTTATTGCATTAAATTCATTACGATCTTATCTATTCGTAATAAATCATTTCATTGATATTAATTTGTCACATTTTTAAAAATGGTACAATTCTACATTTGCCGATTTTCCTCTGTGCATCTAATAATAAACGAGTTTGTATTGGATGCAATGTAAGAAAATGTATACATACATACATAGACACATGAGCAAAGTAATCTGATTTGTTTNAACCGACGACGTAGGACAGGATTTAAAGTCCCATATACAGATACATACACACACATGCACACATGCACGTACACACACGCACACACACCCTTGCGTCAAACTTTATTCGTAGATACAAGAGGTTAAAAGCTCTTCGTGGCCCCCCGAAGATGGACCGGCCAAATTCCTCTTCCTTTTCATCTTTCATTCACGATATTGCCCCGCTACGAGTTTCCTTCCTTTTTCTTCATTCTATTCGCGTACATTTTTAACCTCGAGGTATAACTAATTAACGCTTCAAAGACTTGCGACGCGTAGTTCTATCTTTTACCGAAAAGTTAGCCAAAATGCAATTTTAGGGGGTACATGTATAATAGCAAAAAGCTGCTGTAATACATATGTATGTTGTATATTGTCGTGGACAAATATACACTTGATAATTTAAATTATCTAGTAAGGAGTAAAATTTATCTAATACAAGTGTAATAAATGATAGGATATATGTCCCAATTATTGTCAGTGTTTCTATAACTGCAATTTTAATTGTTTTAGTTAACAGCGAAATAATGCGTAAAAAAACGTACAGCATAAAAGATTTTAATGTTAAACTTGGACTCCGTTTTAGGTAATAATAGAGAAACATTGCATACTTATATTTATAAATTAATATTAAAAGGTGAATTTACCAATAGCGTATCTAAAATGCTCATTCAATGTTTGCTGCAATAATTATTATATGTATATTGCACTTCCTCATACATTTTTTATTAATTAATAATTAACCCATAATATTTGTCATATAAAAAAATAATTAACTAAAGCTACGCGATAAGCTTAAGGTGGCAGTAATTAAGGGACATCCACCAATTTATTTATATATCGTCT